AAGAACAAACAGTCATGGATAATAGAAACAATATAAACTACTGGTTTCGCATGGGAATCAAACACCAACCTCCTGTGTCATATTCCTGTATTTTGTTGACTCATCAATCCACCACAGCCTCCTCCTGACGTGGACTTTGTCTCTCTTTAAACTACGTCACTGCACTTTTCCCTTTGCTCCTGTCATCATTACTACCACCACTAGATGTCACCACCAACAAACCATAACTATGGGTCGCAATAAGCTGCCGTGCAAACGACCTGTGGGCTCGTTTTTTTTTTTAACGAAACTGTGGTAAGGTTTTGGGATTTATTGAAGTACTGAACTGGGAAATAGTTTTTCTGTTTTTTCATTTGTTTAACATGAAAACTAACATGAAAAAAGCCGTGTACTGTCAGAAATATATGATTATTAACTCTAATTCTCTAACTCAATTAGATTTTGGTTGGTCTGAGGGGAGGGGCTTAGCAGTTATAAACCTCTGGCCTACACGGCTCTCAAGTGGTGCAAGGTTCTCTGAGGGTGGATGTGAACCAGACAGGAGGTGTTTGCAAGTTGTTTATGATTTTTTTGTTTTGTTTTTGCTGTGGACATCAAAGTTTTCTCTCCTATTTCTCCTATTTTTGTAATTAAAAACACCTCAATCTACTTTTGTGACTCAAACCATCTCGTTATTTTTCTAAGACAGGTGACCCACAGTTTTGGTGACACAATCCAAACAGGGAAACTTGGTCTTAAAACGACAACAGCCACTGAGAGATGCTAAAAGGCTGTCTTTCAGCTTCAGTCCCCACCTCTTACACACACACACACACACTCACACACACACACACACACACACACACACACACACTCACAGTGTGTGTGTTGTAGGCCTTGTTGTCACTGCGCTGTCTGCTGACTAGAGATCCCGATGGAAGTGCTGTCAGGGCTCCGCTGGAACCTCGTATGTAAACAGAACTGTCAGGTAAAAGTGCCAACTATTTAAAGCCTCACTGACGGTCGATATTGTTTCCCAGGAACAAAAGTCCAATATTATCCAGAGAGCACGGCAAACACTGAAAATCCTTTGTAAGACATTAAAAATGCATGTCTCAAAGTGGAAGATGAGCTTCTCTTATTCCTGACAGGCTGACAGTTTTGGAGATGGTTGTGAGGGGAGACAATGATATGCAGCGCTGCCCGTCATCATTAAAAGTTCTCCACTTGGAAATGCAAGCAGCGGTTCAGGCCAGATGAAAACACTCATCAGCGTCTAACCACGATGAGGCAAATCAGCTTCTGTGTTTGAAAGTGACAGTCACAGTTTGTTTGAAGGATGACACGGAGTCTTTAAGGCACTGTAACACGGCAGCGCAAATGAACTGTCAACAAGACGGCACAATATTCACACATGACTGACATGATCATTTCTATTACCCAGTGATTCCCCATCACCACTGGCTTCAAACCTGTTGTGCTGCATGTCTGATTGGCACACGGCCATTTGAACAGACTGCTGCTTCAAACAAATAGTTCACCACCGTAGGAAGTAATTTTTTCACTTTCTTTGCAAGACGGAGATGAGCAGATCAACACTCTCAGGGGCAGGGGCAAACAGTTAGCCTGGCTAAGCTAAAAGGTTAAACTAACACCATCACTATTTTTTGAGGTCATTGATAAAGATGTAAATAAGAATTAATAAGATATATAAGTGCAAGTGCACATCTGTGGAAGCCGAGAAAAGCCATACTCGCAAATGTTTTTTTATCCTGTTATCTCAAGATAACAAAGCTCATTATCCCTAGATAACGAGATATTGACAGGAGAAAACGATCTTTTGTTATCCCGATAACAAAGCTTGTTTTCTCATTATAATTACTTTGTTAATCAGAGATCAGATGTGCCAAGTCAGTATGCAGATGGAGACTTCTAGAGTAAAGTGAAAATGTCAGGACGAGACACTGATCAACACATCAGAGAATATTTCAGTCAAGGGCAGAAATCACACTTTCTCTTTTCATACAAGATGGTTTTCAGATCAGTCCTTGTCAGCCAACGAGTTACCAAGGATCGTTGCTAAGGAGTGTAACTCACAACTAAGTGTATGAGGTTCCAGTGTTGTGCATGAACAGCTTTCATTGAACATGTTCATATTTTTTAGTCAGCGCTGAGCTGAAAGAATCAGTTTACAAATGATGAACGTGAAGGTTTCACAATAGTTTTAACTCACGTTTTATGACATAAAAAAATGTGTGAACTGGCACAACACTGATGAGGTTCAGTCAAAATCATTTCCTCCTGATAATGAGCTTTGCTATCTTGAGATAACGGGATAAAAAATATTTGAGTAAAGCCTTTCTTGGCTTCTGTACACAGCTACCTTGGTTGAGAAGTTTTGACTGTGCTTGTGTCGTGCCTCACACACCTCTGTTTGGGTCAAGTTTTGTGTGTGTGTGTGTTTGTGGAACATTTTTGATTTAGATTAAAGTAAAGTAGCAGCCCCTCAGTGGCTTCTGGGTATAAAGTTACTACCATCTCAAAAATGTTATTAGGACAACTAACACTCAAGTCTGATATTCTGGTTTTTATCAGGGCCTGTATTCACAAAGCATCATGAGGCTAAAAGGAGCTCCTAACTTGCCGATTTAGGAGAAGCTCTTAAAAATAATGGGCGTGTCAGTCCTCACTTTAGGACTCCTGGTTTTTCTGACTGAGAGCAATTCACAAAGACACTTAGCGCTAAAAGTAGCACCTAAGTCTGCTGTTATTCGCACCTTGCAGTGTTCTGGAAACCTTACACTATGCTGAACTACCTAAAAGATACGACTCAATCACAAGGGAATAATGATCATTGGGGAACTTGTGAAGGATTCATGGATTTTAATGGAGAGTGACCTGATCAGCTGTTTGAAAGCCTTGTATTCCAACTGGATGTCACCTGGTGGGACAGTGGAAATCTTCTCACACCTCAACCCACAGCCGGGACCACAGCTACATTACAACAGGTAAAGGTACAACAGACTGTGGCTATTAGGTAGTCTATGACAGGCTCGTTTGTTTAACGGGTCGACACAAACCTGATCATACGGATGCTTTTTGGAGAATGCACTACTTTTGTAAACAGCACCTAATCCGTTATTATTTAATTTGTATTAATTTATTTCTCAACATCCACAAACACTGGATGTTGCACATGTGTTTTCACCGGCACAGATGGTCTTTCATCAACCAATCACTGTGGTTCCTGCAAGGGAGCTTGTCCATGAGAGTTGACGTCAGCCATGGCAACGGAGTTTTCACTTTTTCTTTGTAAAAGTTTCTCTCAGCAGCTTTGTGAAGAGGATTTAAGAAAAAACCTTTAGTTAGAAACTCTTAGTGTGATTTAGGAGAACTCTTAGTGGTAACATAAAACACTTTTTGTCTGGGAAAAAAAATATAAAATAATGAAAATATTTATTTCACTTGCCTCTCACAGGAGAAAAATTTGTTTTTGCGTTTGTAATTCTGATTTCAGCCACAGGAGGGTGGTGCACCACTACCTCTGTCTAAATCTGACTAAAAGCCTTCAGGTTTCCCTCTAGGTGATTTTTAATTTCTCAATGCACTAACACAAGTTACATATAATGTACTCTTCCATCTCTTGGCTATACTTGGCTATACATGTGGAACAAAGTGTAAAAAATGAGAAATTTGAGTGAATCCTGAATGAGTAATCATTCTTTGGGATGTAATCACTACTGGTCAAGCAGTGTGCACTGGAAAAATCATTGCTTTGAATCCCCTGTCAACTTAAAGAATGGTCAAAAGAGAAGTAACAGTTCTGTTGAGATATGAATAAAAACACATCAGTTTTTCCAAGAAAAATACCTTTTTATTTCATTATAAATCCACATAATTGTATCTATGAAAGCATAAAATCCCCATTTCACTTGTTGTTGTGTTTTATCCTTATTGTGGTCATTTGTTTCGTTATATTCAAAGTAAATCATTGGTATCAAACCATCGAAGACTGTAAGGTGTATGTCACATACAAACACAGACACTGTCAAACGGCAAAGGGGGAGCGAGGGGGAGTGAAGGGACGGGACAGCGCAAGTTCTGCTGGCCATCTTTTACAACCGCTTAATACATTTAACAATCTCAAGTGCCAGCGTTTAGTAGTAGGAACACTTATGGTCGCTTTCCAGTGTCAAACAGAACATCAGAATTCACCATTTTCACCACCAAATGTAGAGTCAGACTTGTGTGCTTGAAGTTTGGCTTTGAATAAATCCTCGCTGGTGTTCCTCAAGGCTTCTTGGGACACCAAAGGTTTTTTTTTAATACTCCGACAAAGAGAGAACCAGTCCACCATGGACGCAAACACACTGATTATTTCAACATTATTTAAGTCATCCGCAGCCAGAAGAGTTAGACTGATAATACTGGAGAGTATACTATTCAGTTGTTCATGAAAATGAGAGAGAGAGAGAGAGAAAAAGAAAGAGAGAGACAGACAGAGAAAGAGAGAGAGAGAGGGGAAGATAGATGAAATGAAAACACACGATTAAAGTGCCAGAGAAGTTCACCGTTTAGTTTGACAGTTTGTTATTATTGATGCTTCGAGACAAGACGCTGACGATGTGCTCGTATTTTCAATCCAAGGCCCAACATGTATTTTCTCTTTGACTCCTAAGAGATAATAGAGAGGTGTGTGCTTTTGGAAGTCTGCATATTCTCCCGATATTGTAATAATGCTGTCATAATACTGCAGTAATCCTTTGGCATATGACTGTATGCTGGAGAAAAGAGAAGAGTGGTGCCACCAACCATTGACGAACCACAGCTGAGAACATCCTGGAACAAATGTCTTGAAATGGGTTTTCCCAAATCCACAGTAATCCATCCATTATATTCCCAGAGCAGCATTTAGTGTCCGCGTAGATCCCAGCTGTCAAATGGAGAGACTAAATCCAGGAGCCCCGACAGATCACTGGATACTTCCTTCAGAAAAGAAGAAGAAGGAGTGATTCCCGACTGTTCAGTATGATTCCTCACATCCAAGGTTTCAAGCCCCAGATAAGCACCAAACACGGGCCGGGTTCAAAGCCCGGAGCCTGACCTGTATCCCACATGTCTGATCTGAGCGGCCTGGAGACTTGTGCATATCAACAGGTTTAGGCTGTTTATCCTCCTCCAGTTGCCTACAGGATGTTTACATCACATCCCATGGTTGTGGTATCAGGTGGCATCAGAGGGTCGGGTGTGTCTCTGGGTTGAATACCTGATCACTGCAGCAGAGTAGGCAGACGTGACCATGCAACCCATCGGGGCACCTAAAGGAGACAGGAGACAGCGATACAGGCTGATTGAGGCACTGTGTATATATTTTTATACTCTTTATTTGTTAAATGTCATTCCCTTAGATTGTTATTTCCCAGAAAAAAACAAAAGGAAAAAACAATATTATGACAGCTATAATGTAATAACAATTCACAAAAATCTATTGATAAGTAAAAGTAAAGGAAATCAATAAAAATAGAAGAAAAAAATGAAGAAAAACTGAAAGAGGTTTCACTCATTTCAAAATATATAGTAGCTCTTATTCCTCTCTCCTCACTACTTCCAGTTCTTCCTTCCTTCTCTTCCTCCTCCTTTCCTTTCCCCCTCTCCATTTTACTTATTGATTTTTTATACTGATATCTTTATATAATATTTTTCAAGTTTATCTAGATTCCTAATCCTGTGATTTACTATCTCTATTTTATAGTTTTCATTAACCGTGTCCTTCCATTTGCTTAATTGTGGCTTCTCTGGTTTCAGACAGTTCTCACCTGTTTAAGTGCTGCTACTGTTGCTGTTAGATTACTGTAATTAGAGACGCATTACGTCTGATCTTAGTTTTGTTTGTCAACTCATGGTGACTTATTTTACTGGCAGCAGTGGAAGTTTTATTACTCCATTATAAGTCCTGCGTTCAAATTCCTACTTAAGTTAGAGTATAGAAGTTCATCTGCAAGATATACTTATAATTCAAATGGTAAAAGTACTCATTAAGTTACTGTTTCATCAACATATTTACTGTTATTTCATCATTATAACTGATCCATTAACATGTAAGCAGAATTTTAATGTATGAGCTGGTTGAGAAGAATCTCATTTGAATTAATTTACACCGTGTTTGGTAGTAACAGTGTTTCAGAGACATATTTTAGGGACTGGTCGATGTTAGTATGTGAAATCTTACATCTTAAAGCAGCTAGTAACTATAGCTGTCAAATAAATGTAGTGCAGTAAAAAGTACTTGTACCTGTAATGGAGCAGAAGTATAAATTAACAGTGCATGTACTGTAGTTAAATTTCTCTTGCATTATCAGAACAAATGATGGTCTCTTACTGTGACTGAAATTCATACTGCTCTTCTCTCTTTTTTTGGTTTCACTTAAATATATTTTAACAGCCGGCCTCGTGTGGAGTTCTTCTCTTTATAGACAGCAGGTTCCTCGAGTCTTTGCTTGTTCAATGTTTATGAACCTACACACTTGAGACATCCCTTTTTTTCTTTTTTTTTTTTTTTTTTAGGAAAAACAAACGCACTCTACAAAAACCACACAAACCCCCACAGCATCTGCAGAGGCTCTATACTGTTGTTTTCCAATGCTGATGACTCAGTGTCTGCTCAGTCAACTGCTGAGATTTCAGGGCTTTAAAACCCATTCCCTGCCTATACATTGGTTTGGAAACTACCCCCTTCACACCCACAGAGCCTTATGTATTTGTACTTGAAACACAGACCGAGGCCAAACAAATGGCACCGTAGCACTTTTCACTGTCTGGTAAGTACAGCAGATGGTAAAGCTGTGTTTTGGTGCATGGGGAGATTGTACTAATGAAGAGTGAGGGAGCTCAATTCAAACTGTGCCAGCAGGGGGCGCTTGAAGTGTGATAAATGAAAAGTACAGTAAACTACACAAGTCCTCTTTAAGATGGAATATAACAGACAGCCACATAAGTAGATGGACTAATTCATCATTTAAAGACAGAATAATATTAATATATGATATATGATAATATATTCATATTATCATTGTTGTAAATTGACTTTATATATTGACTGAATGACTCCACCTGTAATAACTATTTAAAGTTTATCTCTTAACTTATTAAAAGCATATTGTAGCTACTGTAAAGGTCTACAATCATTCAGATGCCAACATGTGTACTGTACTGCACACACCCACACTGTTGGTTGAGAGGAAAGACAGAGACATCATGGAGGACGAGGTTTCAACATTGCATTGGTGTTTACTGTGCTGTGTATATTTCAACCTCTGAAATGTACTATAATGAAAAAAGCGTTTGGCATTTGATGCAAATACTTGATTTTGAGATGTGTTCATGATATTTTCAATGTGTTCAGTGTTTCATTTTACAGCAGATATGTGGCACTTTGCATTTTGTGTCTGCAGTTTTTGAATTTGTGTGAAGAGTTCTGAAATAATGAGACCTAGTTTAGAAAATGTGTGAAAGCGGATGTAAAAGACTGAAATGCAAAATGACTCAAGAGAACCTGAGAGACTGATGCACGTGAGAAAAAAAGTGAAATTTGACAAATGAATGCTTAATAGCTTTTAGGAATGAATGATGAAGCAGTAAAAAACATGTCAGCGCTCTTTAGAAAAAGCAAGATTTAAAAAGGAGCATCAGTTAATGTATTCAAACATTAATAAAAAGTTACGGTCTACAGTTCAGCTGTAATTTGCTTGTCTTTTGTTGTGTTTTGTTCCGTTTGTCTAGGACTCTCGAGCTGCATGAAACTGTCGTCTGAAATCAGCACACACTGATGAAGAGGAAGGAGGGGGGGGTGAGGAGAGGAGAAGAGTTGGTGTGGGAGGAAAGAAAACTGGCTGAAAGAAGAATGAAAACGAGGGGAAGGGAGACAAGAGCACGGGAGGAGAAAAAGACGCAAAGAAAACAGATGAGGGGAGAATGGAGGAGAAAATGTGAGAGTGAAAAAATAGGAAGGTGGTTATAGAAAGATGAAAGCACGAAAGGGCAGAGGAGAAATGAAAAGGAAAAAATAACAGAAAAAAATGAAGCGAGGGAGAAAGAGATCAAAGATGAGATCACAAAACATGACACATGAGGAAATGAGAGGGGGAGGAAAGGGGAAAAGAAAATATAGGACAGAAAGGTGGAAAAAAGGAGGCTAGGAGATAAGAGGAAAAAAAGGGGGGAGAGATATGGAAGAGAGGAGAGGGGGAGGAAAAAAGAAAGGAGAGGAGAAAAGAGAGCAGAGACAAGAAGAGAAAAGATGAAAAAAAGGAGATGATAGAAAGAGAGATGATGTATAAAAGAAGGAAAGTGAGTCAAGGATAAGGGGAAAAACAACATGAAAGGAAAAGTAGATTTTAAAAGAAAGAGAGAAGAAAGATGAGCACAGGAAGCAAGAGAAAGAGAAGAGGAAGAAAAGAGGAGAGAAAAAAGAGAAGTGTTAAAAGATAAGGAGAAAGAAAAGACAGAGGAGAAGGAAGGAGGAACGATGCTGAGACCAAGCGCCACCGGTCTGCACACTGTGGGGGATTGGGCCATTATATAATGACCCAATAAGGAGGAATAATGTTGTTTACTAAGGCAAGGCGATATTCACAGAGCACTTAGAGGTGAACTCACTCCAGGCCTGCTAATGGCTGCTCATTGCTGCTCTCTCTTTCTCTTTCTCCTTCATCCTCATTCACTCTCTCATCCTCCTATCTTTTCCTCCTCTCTGTTAAAGTATGCTTGGCATGTCTCCATGCCTCTCTCCCTCAAGACGTTCTGCTGGAGCTTCTCTGATGAAACAATGAGTGGTTACCCTCTCACCTGTGTGTACGTGTGTCTCTGTGTGTGTGTGTGTGTGTGTGTGTGTGTGTGTGTGTGTGTTTGTGTTTGATCTCTCACCTCTCCCGCCTCTTCTCCCTCCAGCGCTGTGAAGCTGAATGTAAGTAAATCTGAAAAACACACAAAACAGACAAATAAACAAGAGGATGGAGTTACAGCTCAGATAGATAGATAGAGAGATAGATAGATAGATAGATAGATAGATGATAGATAGATAGATAGATGATAGATAGATAGATAGATGATAGATAGATAGATAGATAGATAGACAGATAGAGAGATAGATAGATAGATAGATAGATAGATAGATAGATAGAGAGATAGATAGATGATAGATAGATAGATAGATGATAGATAGATAGATAGATAGATAGACAGATAGAGAGATAGATAGATAGATAGATAGATAGATAGATAGATAGATAGATAGATAGATAGATAGATAGACAGATGATAGATGATAGATAGAGAGATAGATAGATAGATAGATAGATAGATAGATAGATAGATAGATAGATAGATAGATAGATAGACAGATGATAGATGATAGATAGAGAGATAGATAGATAGATAGATAGATAGATAGATAGATAGATAGATAGATAGATGATAGATAGATAGATAGATAGATAGATAGATAGATAGATAGATAGATAGACAGATAGATAGATAGATTTGATTTGTTTTTTTGTGCATAATGTTGTTAATGTGCCTTAATATGGACAGTGTGATTCATTTTCTGTATTTTTATCTGATTTGATTTCTATTGTGCTAAGGACTGAGGCTTTGATACTTTGACAGTATTAATATAGAACCTAGACCTGCCTTATAATCAAACAACACATGGACATCTTCCTTTATACTATATGGAGCTTTAACAATTGTTAAGTGAACCTGCCATTTCCAAGAATTTTTCCAATCAGCAGATTGTTCACTGACATAAAATTGCAAATCTTAAGTTTGGAAAGTCCAAAGTGATGTTATCAAATGTTTCATTTTGTTGAACCAACAGACCATAAATACATTTAATTCAAAATGATCTAAAAGAGTGAAATTCAGCAAATCCACACACACACACACACACACATTTATATATAAGCAACCAATGAATAATCAATAACAAGAACGATAAAAAAGATGGCTAAAAGATAAATCAATGATACTAATTTTCCTGATAGAGAGATCAGTCTAGCTCTGTCTTCTCTCAGCGAGCTGTAAATCTGGGCTTCAGTTTTCTATTTGCAGACCTCTCTTCACCTTCTTCACGTTTAGTCTCTTCCCAGTCTCTCTCCCTTCTTCACCTCCCCCTCATCCCTGAGTTTTCATTTTCTCTCCATCTCTTTATCCCTCCATCTCTTCTTGTCAATAACTGTGTCTCAGGGCTGAGTGACTCATCTGCACTCCTCTCTCTGTTTGCTTGGCTGTTTCTCTCTTTCTCTCTGTTGTTTTTTTTTTCTTTCTCCATCTCACTAACTAAATATAAGTCTATAATCCTCCCTTCTGTCTCTCTCTCCTGTCTCTCTCTTTTTGTCTTTCTTGGATGTTTCTCTCTTTCACCAACTATAAGCCCACAATCCACCCGTCTGTCGCCCGCCCGCCTTCATCTGTCTCTCTGCTTTCTTTGCACATACACCCAGGTCTTTTTCAGATGGAGATTAAAAAGACTTTGACTTTGCTTTATTTTAGTCAAAGGGTTTATGAAGCCACTGGCAATGTTACACTGCAAATTATATTCAAAGGCCTCCCTATAAAAATAGATACCAGGAAACAGCAGAGCCTGAGTTGGGATTTCTCTGCTTTCTGTTAATGTGCATTCACAAGATTTATTTAAAGTAAGCAGCTACTTTAACTGCTTCAAACTTTAAACAGAAGCTGCTTTGTTATTTTTTTACATGCTATTTTATTATGTTATTTAAGCTTTTGAAAATGGAAATAAGGAACAGTTTAGAAATAAAGCAGATTATTATAACATTGTTTCTCTGGTGCTCTCACTTTAGATAAGCTGGTTAAACTGGGGACTTAATTCTTATCAAAGATCCTCTATAACAGAAGATGATGCATCACAAGCAGAGCCAATGGTAACAAATGGTAAACACTTCCTGTCTCCTAAGTGGGCGTGGTCATGATTGCTTGTACATGTCAAAATATAACAACAATATAATACAACACTAGATACAGTTTGAACTTGCGCTGATTTTGCTGCTTGTTTTTAACTGCTAGCTTATATCTGATCAACCCAGAACAAGATCATATCAGTCTAACACTCTGTTTTCCCGCCAAAAATGGTTAAATAATAACAACAATAATAGTATTATCAAGCAAAGAAAGACATGTTTTATTCCAGTTTTAACGTTAACTTCATGGTTGCATGTACCCAGGTAGCAAAATAACATGCGTTGGGCTATATGCGTGTTTTCTTCTGGCCCTGTACATGCCTGGTGCCACGGCCCGAATCTGGCCCATACACAGCATGATTATCAGATGCACATACACTTCCACATCTGGACCACTTCTGGCACACGCACAGAAAATCTACCATCTGTCAGTCAATACTGGAGGATAACAGCCGGAATCTGCCCTGGGATCTGGGAGTACATGGACTACATGTTGGGCCACAAGTTTCATTCTGCTATATGGGTACAGGTCACTCTAAACTTCTGTGGTTGCAGCAGTGAACCCAGAACCAACATGAGATCTCTGATTTGTTGCTGAGACAGAGACAGGTCTCTAATAAAGTAAATTTTCTCCTGATCTGCAAAAAATGTTCTGAAGATCTGTGGCTTGTGAAAAATGATTTATTTCAGTGATTATGGGGGGAAAGAATCATAATGTGTGATCAGGTTCACTTCTCCCATTGGAGTGAACAGACTCAGAGCTGCTGCTGGTCTCCTAAAGGGGCGGGGAGGTGGAGAAACCATGTGACACAGTTACAGGAAATGATTGTAAATGTGCTGTCTCCTTTCTCAACTGTCTCAGCTTGTACTTTCCATATCAGGGCAGGGCTCAGAGGGGCTGCAGGGGTCCGTGATGTGGGACGTCAATGTGCCGCCAAAGGTCGGACGAACATCATGCATTAATTTAGCTCACCAATCTAAACATAGGATTAACCCTTACGCAGTGACGATATGTTAATGAGTCTTCTGTTATCTTCACCAAGCTTTCTTAGTTGCCTAACCTAGTATAATTACTTTTGTTACTCTGTTTTATGTGTTGTTATTTTTCAGGCAGCTGCTGGAGGCACAGCCTTGGAGTGAAGTGATTTGAAGATGAGCAACACTCCCAGTTCCCTAAGCTGTATATGTATATATTCCTTTGATGTGATTATTTTTCCATGCTGTGGAAAAGACTGTATTGTTGAATTGTTGGATAAATACAATGATTTTCCGTTCAGAGCACAGCACATATTTTTTCCTTTGCTTTGGTTGAAGGAGCACTTCCTCTCCCTGTGAACTCCCACTTTTGTTATCTTTTCCCAGGACCCCCCCCCTCTACCCCCACCCCTGCCCCCACTGCTGTGAATGCATATGTGTGAATTCATGAATGTGAATGACGAAGGCCTCCTACTTTCCCTGGATACATGCAACATGAAAATAAAAGCACATGAATCCATGCCACTGTGTGTGATGTGACCAGCAGGTGTCACTGTGACGCCGTGCGGGGCGGCTGCTGCCTGCCGGCCTCAGTGGAGGCTGTGTGGCGGTCGCTAACAGTTTAGTCACTGTGCCATCCTGCTGCTCAGTGCCAGGCTTGGATAATAAAAGCACACTGAATGACGCCCCGATGCCTCGTGGCTTTACAGAGCGCACAGTGATGCTATCTGCCCGTGGGTGCCTACGCCTCTCTGCCCTCTGTCCTTCTCCGTGGTAACCAGCGAGGTGGGATGGTGGGATTGCATTGGAGGGGAACCTGTGTTGAATGAATGTGTGTTTTTGTGTGTAGCTCGTCTGCATGTGTGTATTGGTGTACTGTTCTGATGTCCGGAGAAAATGATGATGACAGTGCATTTCTCACAATTTATATATATATGTAATTGTGCTTCCTCTTAATGCATATGTACACTGAACTGTATTTACAATGCTGCTCTTAGGTTCATTACTAATTCCACTGCTTACCTGTCTTTGTGTACTATATAATAGGGTTGGCTGGCCCTGGTACACACCCGTCTACAAAGATATTGTTGGCATCTTACCTCCACATTTATCCAATTTAATTTAGCAAATAAGAGTGGGATCTACTGTTTATGCTCTGAGAACGTGAATCTATAAAGTCTGTTCTGTCCTACAGACAAGAGAGAGAAAATCAGGGAATCTATCGCTTCACTTTAATGGTGTGGAGCTTATGTACCTTTCAGAGTTTTTGAAGTAATTAATTTGGGTGGACAAGACAAGGTGTTACCTTGCCAACTCTGCAAAAACCTGGATTAAATTCAGTGGCAATATTTAATAAATTCTTTGCTTTTACGACAGCTCTGTGAGGCAACTATGATGTGGTTAAGGTCAGGGGAAGACTATCATTACGACTGATTAAAAGATGAACGTTAATTGCAGGTTCCCCGCAGAAAAGTTGGAAATGCTACACACATCTATCACCCCGACCTCTGCACCCTCCACTTTCCATCTCACCACACAGAGAACACACTTCTTCCTGCGTTCACAGTGAATGTCGGCACTGGACGTAAACGCAAAAGCGCAGGATTGTCCAATACGAACAGGGTCACAGGGTTGGCTTAGGTTTTCGGCTACTACAGTACAATTAGAAAAGCTACTAGTTCAGTTAATTATTGGAAAAGTTCAACACTTGCTGACTCATGCTTTTATATTTAACTGAGGTGAGAATCTGTCTCTGAGCTTAACAGATGTGTGCCACAGTTGTTGCTCTATGAGACTATGATACTCATTGTGAAGGAAACAAACTGTTAAACAGATAAAGTACAGTATTAGACAAATTGAAATGTTGCCCTGATGATTATTCTAGAAGAAAATGTAAAGGGAGGATTCATCCTTTGGGGGACATCAATGTTCGTACAAAAATTTGTGCCAATCCACTGAGTAAACATTAATTTGACCTGATGGTCGTATTGGGTGAAAAGTCAAGGGCTTCCTCCTTTGGG